ATATGTGTTCAAGCAAAACAACCTAGAAAGCCTTTTAAATCGAGAGTTAAAGAAACCAAATTGCTTGAATTGATTCATAGCGATGTTTCTGATTTAAATAATATCTTGACACGTGGTGGAAAAAGATATTTTGTAACTTTTGTAGATGATTATTCAAAATATTGTTATATATATTTATTAAGAACAAAAGATGAAGTATTTGAAAATTTTAAAATTTATAAATCAGAAGTAGAAAATCAACGAGAAGAAAATAAAAATATTAAGGTCGGATAGAGGAGGTGAATATAAACCTACTGAAATGGTAGAATATTTTGAAAACCTTGGAATTATTCATCAAGAGACATTGTCATTCTCACCACATCCTAATGGAATAGCAGTAAGGAAAAATAGGACATTATTAGACATGGTAAATGTGATGCTTTCTAGTTCCGGTTTAGCAAATAATTTATGGGGTGAAGCTTTGTTTTCAGCATGTTATATATTAAATCGTGTACCTTATAAAAATTATGATGAGACTCCTTATGAATTGTGGAAAGGTAGAAAACCAAATTTAAGATACCTTAAAGTATGGGGTGTCTAGCTAAAGTGAGTGTTCCAAAGAATAAAAAACAAAAGCTTGGACCTAAAACCATTGATTGTGTTTTTATAGGCTATGCGTTAAAAAGTGTTGGATATAGATTTTTAATTATTAAATCAGAAATTTCAGAAATTTATGTTAATACTATTATGGAGTCACGTGATGTTGTATTTTTTGAGAACACTTTTCTGTTGAGAGATCAAATTCCAAAGCAAATTAGTGAAAATGTCGTTGGGAAGCTATTAGCAAACAATTAAGATAATGAAGAACCTAGGAGGAGTACAAGAAGTAGAGTTGAAAAGAATTTTGGTGAAGATTTTTACACTTTTATAGTACAAGAAGATCCTAAGACATATAATGAAGCAATGACATCTATTGATGCACCTTTTTGGAAATGAATTCTATTATGTGTAATAGGACTTGGGTGTTAACAAATTTGCCTCATGGTAGTAGACCGATAGGTTGTAAATGGATATTTAGGAAAAAGTTGAGAACGGATGGATCTATAGAAAAATTCAAAGCAAGATTGGTTGCTAAAGGGTTTAATCAAAAGGAAGGAATTGACTTTTTTGATACCTATTCTCCTGTAACAAAAATAACAACCATAAGAGTTTTAATGATCATTGCTTCAATATATAACTTAGAAATTCATCAAATAAATGTTAAAACTGCATTTTTGAATGTAATCTAGACGAGGAGATTTATATGGAGCAACCCGAATGATTTGTGGTACCAAGGCAAGAAAATAAAGTATGTAAGTTGGTCAAATCTCTTTACGATTTAAAACAGGCTCCTAAACAATGACATGAAAAATTCGATAAAGTAATACTCTCAAATGGTTTCGTTTTAAATGATTCGGATAAATATTTTATTCTAAAATAACTGAGAATAGGTGTGTAATACTTTGTCTCTGTGGATGACATTTTGATTTGTGGAACCAATGAATATGTGATTTGTGAAACTAAAAATATGCTTTTCAAATAATTTTGATATGAAGGACTTGGGCCTTGCTGATGTTATATTGGGAATAAAATTAACAAGAAATAAAGATAAGATTATTTTAACCCAATCTCATTATGTTGAAAAATTGTTGAAAAAATTTAATTATTTTAAGTATAAACCAGTGAACACACCATATGATCCACACATGTACACCTAAAGAAAAATTTAGGTGAAAGTGTATCACAACAAAAATATTCATAGATTATTGGATCATTAATGTATTTAACCAATTGCACTAGGCCTGATATTGCTTATGCCGTCAATAGGCTAAGTAGATATACTTCTAATCTCAATCAAGAACATTGGAAAGCTATTGAAAGAGTATTTCGATATTTAAAAGGTACCTTAAATTATGGTCTTCGTTTTCCAAGGTACCCAGCAGTATTGGAAGGATTCAGTGATGCTAACTGGATCTCAAATTCGGATGAAACTAAAGCTACTGGTGGCTATGTTTTTTTGTTTGGCGGTGGAGCTGTGGCTTGGAAGTCAACAAAGCAGACTATTATATCTCGGTCAACAATGGAAGCATAATTTATTTCATTAGATTCCACTGCAACAACAGAAGCTGAATGGCTAAAGTGTTTATTATCAAATATACCTCTTGGCAGTAAGCCTATTCCAGCAATTTCTCTACATTGTGACAATCAAGCTACAATTGCCAAGGCGAAGAATTCCCATTACAATGAAAAAAGGAGGCATATACGGATCTGTCATAATTCTATCAAACAGTTGCTTAGTCAAGGGGTAATTGCACTTGACTTTGTGTGGTCCGAAAATAATTTGGCGGACCATCTTACCAAAGGGCTAGCAAAGAGGCTAGTTCAAAGTTCATCGAGGGAAATAGGATTGAAGCCTATAAGTTAGTCATTGCAGTGGATACCTAACCTCTGTGATTGGAGATCCCATGAAGGAGGTTCAATAGGTAAGAATGAAACTATAACATGACTATGTTGAGCACTGAATTGTAACAAGGAAAATTCCCAAGTCCCATTTCTAAGGTGATAGTGCTCTAAACTATGATGGTGATAAGGAGGAGTAAATCTCTTAATGAGCCCAAGGCAAGATTCTGCAGGGTGTTGGTCACTGAACATCCTTGGAGGGTTCACCTATATGTGTGTTTGTAGTGAGGCCGCTACTATGGGATGTAGACTAATCCCAAATGAAACGCTCATGAAAATCAAGCCACTCGCACATGGCCGTAAAAGCACAAAACTGATTAGAACTTGATCTAATACACATACTGTGTGTGTGACGAGTAGAAACTTGAATTAAAGAACCTAGTTCAAGATTTGTTCACTTTTGTTCTTCATATGGAAGCTAGTTAACGCTAAGTGAAGGTTCAAGTCTGGAAGACACCAATCACCTACTACATGGTATTGTTGTCCAATTTATTTTTATTTAATTTTAAATCATGAGGGGGATTGTTAGTATATATGATTTAAAATTAAATTTTATTATCATTTATTCATATTAATAATTTCAGCCCCACATTTATTTTATGATTATGATTTTAATTTTTGATTTTTGAAATTCTTTAGGGGTAGTTATATGTAATAACTACATATATCACTAATACATATATATATACATTGGAGTTACTACATGAAGACTAGCGTTGAAGCCAAGCATTTCCTATACATTCATATAGCTGTAAAAGGATAATGGCTATCTATTAATATATAAATAGACATGTGATCTATCTTCCTTTGATATAGAAAAATAACTTTCATATACATATTCCCCTTCATTCTTTACTAGTTTTGGTGTGTTTTGTGGGCAACTTGGATGAGATCAGTTTGTTATAGAGAGGTTCACACTACACCATAACTTCTCTCAGATTGTTGTATCTTGGGAAAAGAACGTCGAAAAACTCTGTGCGGAGAGGACGTATCTCTTCCTAGGACAACATTCATCTCACACTTCAATCCAAGCTATTCTAAACTTATTTTTGATCTAAGTTCCATTGAGTTTATTTGATATATTTGCATGTTTATTTAATTTATGAATCTGTGATTTTATGTTTTATTTTTCTAACAAATTAAGGAACCCTCTCTCTTTCAAGGTAAATGCATGACTGTCCTTATGGTGGAGGCCTTTTGCAAGGGTTATATGGCACCTAGTTTGCCATGCAAGGTTACTTAACAGATAAAGCAGATGTTTGTAGCTTTGGAGATGTGACTCTGGAAATTATCAGTGGGAAGAACAGTGCCATCTATAGGCCAAATGATCAAAGTGTCTACCTTCTAGATTTGGTGAGCCAAACGCAAATACACACTCTATTAACTTTGTTTGTGAGTGTTTATATGCTCGTGTGTCCATGCTTGAAAAAGAAAATCATCATGAAGAAAACAAAATTTGTTGATGCATTGTCTATTTATAAAAAGCCTTCTCACTAGATTAATGGATGCAATGAAAATTTGCAAGCTCAGGTTTTACAAGAGCAGGGAAATCTTATAGAACTACTCGATCCAGCCCTCAAATCTGACTACTCTTGGAAAAAAGCAATCACAATTTTAGATTTAGTAATGATGTGCACTAACCCATCCCCTACACTCATGGCAACCATGTCTGAAGTTGTAAAAATCATGGAAGGAAAGAGTAAGATAATTACCTCTAAAATCAGTGTCCCTTACCCGATGGATGAATTTACAACTGCCAAGGCCACCCCTCAATCCAGGAGCACATCACAGGAAGGGGCATCAAACACTACTTTATCTCATTCTGTCAGCAAAGAGATTGAAGAATCTACTTTATCTGCTGATTATACAGCTAAGATGATCAATGGACAACGGGGGATATCAACAACCGAGTCATCTTAGCTTCTGGATAATGGTTATTGATATAGAACCACTTGTAAGACTTTCAATTAAAAGGCCAAGGGTGTCCCATGTTTCATGATCCTGGATATCTTGATTTGTGCATCTGCATATCGAAAAAACAATGTTGCTTGTATATTGGATACTACTACAAATTAAGCATAGTTTGTGAAGCAAGACAAGAATAACTGTCATTTATCATTTCATGTTATCCTTTTTAGCCATTACACTAATAAATTCTTAATCATCCAACTGTCACTGTGCTCTTGATTTCAATTGCACCAAGGTCATGATTCTTAATGAAAAAATGGAAAAATGCTTATTGAGGGGAGTGGGAAAAGGACATAGGAGTATGCAAAAGGAATGAGTCAGAATGTTCACAAGAATGGAAAGGAATGTATGAGCTCTGTCTATGAGCTACCGATGCTGGGTTGCTTTGAATCAACATCCCTCTGTTCAGAACGTCTTAAGACAGTTTGGTCCATATCCGGTGTGGGCGTAAGAGCATTGAGAGGACCTTTTGGCTTCCTTAAGTAGGAAAAAAGCTTAAAAAATAGCTAGACAAGCAATCTATTTATGGGCCACCAAAGCATAATTCTCCCTCTTCAGTATGAAGAACCAAGACTAATCGGGTAGAGATCTTGGGCGGTGGTGGAGGAAGAACCATTGTGTATTGTGTGTGCTGAAGGGATCAGGATCTCAATTTCACCGCAGTTCTGGAGTTCCAACTCTTCATACTTGTCTCTGAGGGCTTTGAACTTCAATTCATCACTATAAATACTTGGACCCATGTTTAGTTCCTGAACAGTGACATGACCTTCAAGCATGCTCACTACGGCAGACATGTTAGGCCTAAGTGCCAGCAACGGATTAGTGCATAATATAGCTGTTTTAATCATTCTCATTGCCCCTTCCTTGCTAAAGTTATAGCCCAACCTTGGATCTATTGGCTCCATCAAACTTCCTCTACGTTGCAAAACAAGAGCCTGAAACAAGCATAAAAGCTAATGAAAATTATCAGGTATTCGACTTGGGGTAAAACTTGAGTATTTATTTAATACTCCTCTCACGAATGACACATCTTGGGTGATCCATCCATGTGGTTCTGGTGTGTACTATGGGAGCTATTGTTGGTGTAGTTTAAACACAAGATTCCTAGACTGTGATACCAAGTTAGTCCCCCAACAACCCTAAAAGCTTAAACTGATATAAAGGGGTGCAACAAAAATACTCATTCATACTTGAATGTGTGTCATGTCTACTATAAAACTAACAGTTTGGATTCGCATTGAGGGATGCATAGTAAAGAATTTGTTTTGGTTTCGTTAGCTCTTTAAATTGCAAACATGACTAATTTTAGTTTTTCAAATATAAGAAGTCCCTAACTCAAGACAGTTAAAGAACAATACTAATTGTTTTTTCTTATGTTAGTGAAGACAAAATATTGGCTGGCTGAGAAGTTCAACTTCTAATGCACCCAAGCACAGTAGTCCATGCTGAATGGTTCAAAAATAAGGAAGACATTTTAGGGACAATTTCTATTTGCCATAATGTTAGGGCTGGATGTGTATTTCTTTTTCTTTTAGGTTCATTATATAAATAAATTCTTTCACGGTTATGGTCAAGTTTTGCCGTCTAGCATTAAGATTGTCAATGAGATCTATTTTTTAACTAGAAGTCTAGGAACTTTTAATATCTATTGTGGTAGTGTTGGGCTTTTGTGGAGTCTAGTTTTGTGTGTTGATTCAAATGATGATCCGACCCGAAATAATGTTATGTGAATTTTAATGAGAAATTTTTTGAGATTTGGTCCATAGAGCGAAGGCTTGGACCGATAGGCCCAAACCGTAGCTCTGATGGACATGCCTCGTGGGGGTTTGGGGGCAACAATAAACAGGAAAATTGTTTGGGCCTGTTTTATAGCCCGGTACGTAGGATATATAAAAATCGTTACTTTTGTGTTTAGGGTTTGGATTGAAACTATATAGCCTCCATTTGTATTCCTCTCTCTCAATAGTGAAATCCCTGCAGTTTCGTGGACGTAGACAAATTGTCAAACCATGTAAAATTTGTGAGTTTTGTTCTTTTTTGTTTCTTAATGTTTTATATTCTTGATTGTGTGTGTTTGTCTATGAGTTTAAAAATCCCAACAGGTAGGTCTCTAGAGAGTGCAACTACATTGTATGGAAAAATAATGCTTATATGGTAGCTACTTGTAATGCCTATTGATATATGACTGAGATAGTAAAAAAAAGAAAAAGAAAATGATAACTTGTGATTTAACAGAGAATATGACATTTAACAGAGAATATGACATTTGGTAAAGCATAATATGATGCACCAAGATTCATGTAGTCGATCCCAAATAAGTGAGATAATACTTTGTTGTGTGGAGTCATAAATCTTGTATGAGCGCTAGTAATAATGTTGATAAACAGGAACTCATAAACACATAAACTATACACCAATGGGTAGGCTTCTTTAAGCATTCTACTCCTACATAGTACTAGTTTCTCATTTTTCAAATTCCATCATCTCGTTCTTGTTTTTCTAATGCTTTTCTTTAATCTATGTTGCCCTTTAATATATAAATTTAGGATTGTTAGCCTATGTTGAGATATTAAGCTTTCTCCTGAGATAACCTTACAATCTTTATATGCTAACCAGTCCGTTCTTTTACTTAAGAAGTGGTCTACTTGGCTTTTGTTTGGTCCGTTCTTAAAGACTATTAGATGTTCTTCTCATTTTCTAAACAAAGTGTTTACCACTACAAGGTTACATGTCATTGCAAACTCTAAAATCTATTCTTTGACTTCATTTCGATCACCATATCTATAACCACCATGACTGTAGCGCCCTAAAATCTACTCTGTAAGGCATTACTATATATAAACCATCTAACCATAAGAGCAACTAAAAATAACTATTAGATAACAAACCATCCATTTATCTGACAAAGAATAAATACTAAAACCAACAAAATATTGAAACTTCTCTAACTTACAATTCAAAACCAAAGAATATCTAGCAATGGAATAATAAAAACTAATGAATACATTGTTTCAAAAAAGTCTCTCCAAATACAATAATCAGAACTAAAACGAAGCATCTCTAAGTCTCCACTTCAGGATCCTCATACTAACCCTCTCCAGCCTCAAGATCAACCTGCTCATCTAACTCGACATTCTCCTCTCTACCAAAATCTGTAATATGTTGTAGGGGGTGAGCAAAAGCTTGGAGGAAATTCCTTTCAAATCTCAACAAGGTTTAGAACAATAAAATATGGCAAGTCTCTTTTGAAAAATAACATATATACTGTTTGAAAGTAAAACAAGGACAATTATAATGATTTCAAGGTTTAGAACAATAAAATATGGCAAGTCTTTTTTTAAAAATAACATATATACTGTTTGAAAGTAAAACAAGGACAATTATAATGATTTCAAGTGTACAAACATACAATAAATCAATAAAAGAAATAAACATGTTTTAATTAAAGCAATCAATTAATCACTCAGTAGCATCATCTCATATTCTCATGTATGTTGGTTCATCCCCATTCTTGTGTATGTTGGTTTTTTCTCAGGAATTTATACAATGATTCTACCTCGTTCACCCATCACAACCACACAATCTCAATCATTCCCTGCAGGGCACATCACAAAACCACTTTAGAAATGGTGTATACCGTCTCTTACAATATTGACAAATCTTTCACAAAGGTATATTATCCCTCAGCCTCGAACCTACGTGAACAATAGTGGTTGCTCTCACAAACAACAATCAACTATAAGTGTTAAGCAATCATCTCACTCCCACTGGGATAGACTAACATCTAATACTCTACGAAAGCTCTCGAAGGCAATTCAAGTCCATCACACTCAAACCATACAAGAGCTGAAACTACAATATTCTCAACAACCACAATCTTAACCAATCACAATTTTCATTAACAATTCAAATATCACAATTTCACAATTCTTAATATACTACAGTAATAAAGGAATTAAAATATGTAAGAGATTATATCAAGAAAACATTCACAATTTCTATATTCAAAATTTTAAGATTTTGTCAAAAATCATAATTTCTTGGAACAAGAACAAGTATTAGATGAAAACATGATTTAATCAAGAATTAGGAATCAAGAATCCATGTATTTTTCACAATCAAACATGTATCTAGCAAACTTTTGAAAATTTCAAGAACAAGTATTCTTGAACCCAAACATATATTTTGTTAAAAACTCAGGTTCAATAATAAAAAAATCAAGAACTCATAAGTATTTATCATATAACTATCAAAAAGATTGAAAACATACATATATAATACCCTAAGTCTCAATGAAAGAACTTGAGAAGATTCTCCTACCTTGATTCCGTAGTTTGTGTGTAAACATAACATGTTTGATCTGTTCAAATGTGACAATCCCCCTTCAATATTGTGTTTCTCTTCTTCTCTCTTGCTTTTTATTGATAAAAAAAACTAAAAGGACGTCCTTATGGTATTTATAGGGTGAAAAATGGAGAAAAACACTAAAATTGATCGTGTCTGTTTTTAGGTAGCGGCTGGATGGTACTTAGGCGTTCCAAAGGGCAAATTTACTGTTTTGGATGAAAAATAAGATTTTAGGGTAGGGAGGGATGTCCGGACTGTTCTTGGGGTGTCCGAACGGTGCCAATTTTTTGTCCCAATTTCAGAAGCAATTTTCACTTATTTAAAAGTCGATTCAGAAAATTTTTGTGAAATACATGTTTGTATCCATTGAAGTCTAGTTTCTACTATCCAAAAATCAGCTCAATAGGAGTTAGGACTAAAAATTTATGGCAAAATTACTAAGATAGTATCAAATTCCTTTCTATCCGAATTCTTTCTAAAATGCGTTTAAACTCCGGAATACTTTCTAACTTCTAATACACCTCATATTATCTCTCCCAAGGTTTCTTAACCTTCCAGATTCAATACAAATCTTATTTTGACCTAAAACTATTTAGAAACTTACCTAACCACCATTCTCAAATTTAAACGCCTTTGAAACTTAAACTTCACAATCAATTTGTGTCCCTAAGTATTTATTCCTACTGTTACAATCTATATGGTTCATTCTTACGTCATTACTTATACAAGAATTACTAAATAATTACGTCACTATATTAGTATAAACATGGTGGGGTTTACAATGACTCCCCTCATATTGTGTTCTATCTTTTCCCACATGTCCAATAAAATCTCCACCTATGATTATCTTTTCTCCTATAGGTATATATTAAACTAATTCATTCATTTGCTCCCAAAATTAATTTTTAATATGTTCTTCTAACCCTACTTGAGGTGTATAAGCGCTAATCACATTAATTATAATATCTTTAACTACAAGTTTAACAGATATAATCCTATTTCCTTTGCTTGTAACTACTACTATGCTATTTTTTAGGTCTTTATCTACAATTATTCCTACTCCATTTCTTCATCTATCCTTTCCTATATAGAAAATCTTAAATCTTGTATTTTCTACCTTCTTTACCTTCTCACATACCCACTTAGTTTCTTGTAAGCATGTTATACTAATTTTTTCCCTACTCATAGTGTCTACTAATTCCATTGTTTTGCGGGTGAGTGTACCTATGTTTCCATATTGCTAATTTAAGTCTATCATCGTGGACTAGCTTCCTTACCCTCCATGTCCATCCATGGTGCGGAGACCCTTGCCTATTTATCATCACACCCAGGAGCCGATTCGGCGCCCCTAACTTATTTGTCAAAACCCCTCGAGGCAGGCGCAACGCGTCACTTATGGGGAACAACCTAGCATTAGCGCATATATCATTATTTGGACACATCATAGTAGATCTGACAAAATTTTACGTTACCTGTAAGCTAACTAATGCAACCCTCCTCCTTTATTCTAGCTTGGTTCAAACAGTTTTCAATACAACATTGGCGGAGTTAATCAACATAATGTACATGATGTAGAAAAAATACCAACTTACCAAACAAAGCACGGGCAAGGCTGTTGTTCTCTATGTATTCATATACAAGATTTGGGTACTCTAAGCCAGAAACAGTGCCTATTTCATTTACAAACTTGCAATTTTCTTGCCTTGATTTCGAAGAAAGTTGCATAACAGCAATTACAGTACTGCCTAACAATACACCCTGCAACAGAAAAAACTGTAGTTTTAAGTGGTCATGTGTGCCTAACTTCCATCTCCATGTGCTTTAACCACATGAAACTGCAAACAAAAGCACAAGATTACTACAAGTAGCTAAAAGGTAAAAGAAAAAGAAGAATCTAGATTGATTTATACCTTATAGACATATCCAAAACCACCTTCTCCATGTTTTCTGCATCGAAGTTGTTTGTGGTAGCTTTAATAGTTGGGATTATTATAGAAAATAGGTATATAATTAGATTATATTAAATTTATAAAGTCTAACTTATGCACTAATCTAAACAGAATGTATGGTAAGCAAAAATAGTGCACTCACAGGGACACAGATCTGCACGAACAATAAAATAAGAAAACCAAAATATTCAATTTGACCCTGGTGAAACACAATGTCCTTAAGACAGATTTTCTCCCTCTCAATACTCAAGGTTGATGAGCAACTACCACCCAAGATAAAATGGATTATGTCTATGCAGAAGTTGCACTTCAATCTCTAAAGACCAACGAACACAACTTATGTTTTATACTTGAATCGAACCAAAAGGATAATACAACAATATGCACAAATAGAGAGAGAAGAAGAAAAAGAAGAAATTCTGAAACTGGAATCCATAATTGCAATGGATTGAAATAGTAATAGGACAGCCTGTTTATAGAAGAGACACACACTTTAATTTGAACAGGTAAAAGACACCTCTTAGAATGAACCAGACCCATTTTGGCTCCAAATTCAAAGTAACGGGAATAAAATTTTAAAATCTAGTAGGACTTTAAATTTCGGTTGGGATTTTAATTCTGATCCGTGTTCGGAACCAATTGGTTTGGTCCATGATCCACACCACTCCAAATAAATTTTATCCAAAAAGATTATATATTTTTGGCCCAAGCCCATGCTCGAGCCCTACTGGGAAGGGTCGTGGTCGTTGTGAGGCTGGTGGCACATGTGTGATAACCTTGGTAGTGTAGGTGTTTGCTCTGCTCATAAAAGCGTGGTACCCTTTGGGGCCCAACCCATAAAATCAACTAGAAGTATATTAACTCAATGCAGGACAAGTCTTATTCTATTATATTTATCTTAGTTTATTTCACCACTTTAAATAAGTTATTTTAGAACATAATTTCTAATTTAATATTTAATGGATTTAGACAAATAAATATACGACATTCATCTCCTCATGGAGAAAAATGCATTTAAACTTGATCCCACTAATTTTGAGATGTAGGTCCCACTTTTATAAATTTCGACAATAATAACGGAGAAATTAGAAGAAGGATTTCAAAAAAAAAAGAAAGATATTACAAATCCTTCTCTATTGATCCTACACATGAGTAATGAATTGTAATTCGAGCACAAACTAAATTTGTTGTTTATCGTATTGTTTTTGTGAAATTCTTCAACAAATTTATAGTTACTAATAATTTATACATTTTTTCTAATATAGTTACTAAGTTGAAAATTTTCAACATGTCAAATTTTCAATTTTATGTGTCACATCAATTAATATAATTGGTTGTTTTGTTTATTTCCAAAATGAGAGATCGTAGTAATGAAACTTATAGAAAATTAAGGTAAACTTAATGAGTTTGGTCATGATCCTCTGAAAATATATCCATCACCAAGATGAATCAAAATTTGTAGTTCCAAAAAATATAACAGGTTAAAAGAAACTGAGATCAATTACATAATGATAACTACAATTCGTTTATGTTCTAAACGAATATGGATGGATCCAATTCTCTCTCATATATGTTTACTAGGAGTCATTCATATTTGAAGATACAATGTAATATGAATGATTTTGAGAGAGATATTGGTGACCGTTAGATGAACATATTTGAGACTGTAGGACAAACTTATTGATGCCTTTTTATATTATAGATGTGTTGTCTTCGTAATCAAATCATATTTTAAGTAACCTGTAAGTGATTTTTTTTTTTTTGGTCAAGGTAAGTAACTTTATTTAAACACTCCCAAACAAAAGTCGACCTATTTTAATGTACAGGCCATTAAAGGAGCTTTAAAGACTGGGATGTCGGTTGAATTTGAACCATATCCTACGGGAACAAAGCCACAATTCATATGAAGATCAAGTCTGAATCTGAGACTCAAATCAAGAAAACACTCTACACTTACTTACAATAGAAGAAGACAAATGAGAAAAAATCAAACACATCAAAAGACACATAATCTATATATATAGAACCCCAAAATCTGGAAAAAAAAATGAAAATTGCAAGACAGACAGGACAAGATGCCGGAGCAGTTGCACAATGAATTCCAACGGACGGCGAACGTCCTTATGTTTTCCTTTTGCTTTTTTTTCTTTGTTTTTTCATTTGGGTTGTAAATAAACTTTGTTGAACCCACTCTCACTTACCCAAGGTCTAGTTTAAAGTTATCTCACCACTTTGGTCACTGTGTATGATGTTGACTTTTTTGTTTTGTTTGTATTGCATTTAATGACCGATAGTTGCTGAAGTGAGACTTGAAAAACATAAGAGATGACTGTCGAAGTGTCAAAAGATAATTGGTTGTCTGTATTTATTTGGCTAATTTTATATCATAATTACGTCTTGAAGTGTCTGCGCGTGATAGTTATACCGTTATGTTTTTATTTTTTTTATTTATTTTTCTTTTTTTATTTGTATAACAAATCTCACGCCTGCCTTATTTTTATTTCTTACATATTTTTTAACTCGTTTCTATTACATCATTTATTTGTGGCACTGTTCATGTACCATAATTTACACATTAATATTTTTTTTAAGGTAACATTTTGAGAAAATTTTGTCGATTTTTTTGTAAAATAATAAGTAAAAATTAATTTCAAAAAATGTAATTAAAAAAAAGGGAAGAAAAAAAATTACTATTTAATATAGTGATATCAATTTTTTTAATGATTAGATTGTATATTGCATCACATTTAAGTACAAATTATAACTAGTAAATAAAAAAGTGATGAAATGCTAGTTCCCCGTGGCCTTTCTAAATGGCTCACAACCTACAACCTAATCCCACAGCCCAATAATCAATTAGGCCATGGGTTATTTCGCCCCATTTTGCATGGGTCTTACTTATAACGTTCAAAATCACACACAAAAAAGTCTCTTTTTTTATAAACATCGAAGAATGTAAATATAATTTATGATAAGTTTAAAAGAAATGTCTTCGAATTCTAGTTGATAACACCATAAATCATAATTCAACTTCACACATTATAGTTCAACTAGACCGACCTGTCTCGGGCCATCCAAGGTAAGTATACCAACTCCCAACTCACTAAACGATACTCAATCAACTCAACTTCACCACGCCAACTCGAATCTAGCTATTTTAAAGAGAGGAAGAGCTCAACCAACCAATCCTACTTTGGGCAGCAAGCTACCGCTTCAAGAGAGATACACGTTTCCTGTGAATATGATTGTCTCTAACAGTTAAATATTCCCGAATGATTTTAACGGATTGAGGGGACCACACAATCATGGAAGAAAACAAAAACCTACTCCTGTATAAATAAAAATGGATGTCCTACTGCAAAAGGATCGAAACATCTGTAATTAATTACCCTCTTCTTCTTCTCCAAGCAATACAACAAACACAGAACTAAGAGACTCAATTGATATTAGACTAGCCTAACTACTTACATTCTGGTTCTATTTCCTCACTATGTGGTTGATCATACAAGCAATTCACATGCACAATTATTCATCATTCAAAATCCTTTCATCCAAAAAAAGTAAATATCTACATAGTTTATGAAGCAAAAAGAAAATATCTGATTGTACATTGGATACTACTACAAATTAAGCATAGTTTCTGAAGCAAGACAAGAATAACTGTCATTTATCATTTCATGTAATCCTTTTTAGCCATTACACTAATAAATTCTTGATCATCCAACTGTCACTGTGCTCTTGATTTCAATTGCACCATGGTCATGATTCTTAATGGAAAAAGAAAAAATGCATATTTCGGCTTCCTTAGGACAAAAACTTAAAAAATAGCTCAACAAGCAATCTATTTATGGACCATCAAAGCATAATTCTCCCTCCTCAATATGAAGAACCAAGACTAATTGGGTAGAGATCTTGGGTGGTGGTGGAGGAAGAACCACCGTGTATTTTGTGTGATGAAGGGTTAAGGATCTCAGTTTCACTGGAGTTTCGGAGTTCCAACTCTTCATACTTGTCTCTGAGGGCTTGGAACTTCAATTCATCGTCATAAATACTTGGATCCATGTTTAGTTCCTGAACAGTAACATGACCTTCAAGCATGCTCACTACGGCAGACATGTTAGGCCTAAGTGCCGGTGACGGATTAGTGCACAATAGAGCTGTTTTAATCATTCTCATTGCCTCTTCCTTGTTGAAGTTAGAACCCAACCTTGGATCTATTAGCTCCATCAAACTTCCTTTACGTTGCAAAACAAGAGCCTGAAACAAGCATAAAAGCTAATGACAGTTATTAGGTATTCGACTTGTGGTAAAATAGGAGTATTTATTTAATACTCCCTTCACGAATGACACCCCTTGGGTGATCCGTCCACGTGGTTTGGTTGTATACTAAGCGAGTTGTTGTTGGTGTAGTTTGAACGCAAGATTCCTAGACTGTGATACCAAGTTAGTCCACCAACAACCCTAAAAGCTTAAACTGATAGAAAGGGGTGCAACAAAAGTACTCATTCATACTTGAATGTGTGTCATGTCTACTATAAAACTAACAGTTTGGATTCGCATTGAGGGATGCATAGTACAGAATTTGTTTTGGTTTCGTTATCTTTTTAAACTGCAAACATGACTAATTTTAGTTTTTCAAATATAAGAAGTCCCTAGCTCATGACACTTAAAGAACATTAGTAATTGTTTTTTCTTGTTAGTGAAGACAAAATACTGATGCCCCAGATAGGCTGGTTGAAAAGTTCAACTTCTAATGCACCCAAGCACAGTAGTCCATGCTGAATAGTTCAAAATAAGGAAGACATTTTAGGGACGATTTCTATTTGCCATAATGTTAGGGCTGGAAGTGTATTTCTTTTTCTTTTAGGTTTATTATAAATCTTTTACGGTTATGGTCAAGTTTTGCTGTCTAGCATTAAGATTGTCAATGAGATCTATTTTTAAATAGGAGTCTAGGAACTTTTGATATCTTTTGTGGCAGGTCTCTAGAGAGTGCAACTGCATTGTTTGGAAAAATAATGCTTATATGGCAGCTGCTTGTAATGCCTATTGATATATGATTGATATAGCAAAAAAAAAAGAACAAAAATGATGACTTGTGATTTAACAAAGAATATGACATTTGGTAGAGCACAATATGACGCACCAAGATTCATGTAATCGATCCCAAATAAGTGAGATAAGGCTTTATTGAGTTGAGTCATAAATCTTGTGTGAGCGCTAGTGATAATGTCAATAAACAGGGGCTCATAAACGCATAAACTATACGCCAATGGGTAGGGAAGAACAGAAAGAAAACCAAAAACTATACACCAAAGGGTAGGGAAGAACAGCAACAAGACATGCAAAGAAGTAAATTTTCTTACCCAGTCAAGTAGACAAACATAATTCCCATCAGGACGATATTTCATGTTGTTCATTCCAGCAACAATTTCCAATGCAACAACCCCAAAACTATACACATCTGCTTTGTAGGTCAAGTAACCCCATAGTGCATACTCTGGTGCCATGTATCCTCTGCCAAAAATGCAAATACTTAGTAATTTACTAGTATTATTTGACTTTAAATAACTTTTATGAACTCTTACGTACAAGAATTCCCAACATAGACGATAATTCAAGCACAACAAGCTAACTAGTTTTTATTGTTGATGAGCAATTTCATGTTAATTCAAAAAACAAGGTTAGAACAATATGATGAGATGTCCAGTGTTACCTTGCGCTTGTTCTTGAAATGAAATAAGTTTTGTCAGCTAAGAAAACTTCTTCTTGAGAAGAATTTTTATTTTTGTCAGATTTTTTACTTTAACTATACAAGGAGAAGCAATGATAAAATCTTTTAACCAAGCAAAGCATTGAGATATATATTTCAAGAAGAACATGCTAGTGGTAGAGTACTCTCAAGGGAAAGACAAAACGAAAAACTCACATAGTTCCGGCGACTCTGGTGCTGATGTGAGTGTTCTCCTCTTCATCGAGTTTCGCTAGACCAAAGTCAGAGATCTTTGGGTTGAGGTCTCTATCAAGTAGAACATTGGTAGCCTTAATGTCTCTATGAACAATTTTCAGTGTTGATTCCTCGTGCAGGAAAGCCAGTCCCCTAGCTATGCCAATACAAATTCTTTGCCTTGTAGGCCATTCTAGTTCAATTTGCAAGTGCTCTGGACCTTCAGTTTACATTGATAGCCTTTAGAGAAAAAATCTACCAACTTTCAAAAACAAGTGAAGAAAAAAGATTAACAAAGCCGATTGTCAGTGAATGTAGTCTTGCTATTTAATTACCATACTTCATATAATCAACATAATGTACATGATGTAGAAAAAATACCAACTTACCAAACAACACACGGGCAAGGCTGTTGTTCTCCATGTATTCATATACCAATAGTAATTGATTTCCTTCGATACAACATCCATACAATCTCACAAGATTTGGGTGCCCTAAGCCAGAAACCATGCCTATTTCATTTACAAACTCACGATTTCCTTGCCTTGATTTGGAAGAAAGTTGCTTAACAGCAATTACAGTACCATCTAACAATACACCCTGCAACAGAAAAAACTGTAGTTTTAAGTGGCCGCATGTGCCTAACATCCATCCCCATGTGCTTTAACCACAGGAAATTACAAAGAAAAGCATAAGACTACTACACGTAGCTAAAAGGTACAAAGAGAAAGAAGAATCTGGACTGATTTATACCTTATAGACAGATCCAAAACCACCTTCCCCAATCTTGTTTTCTACATCGAAGTTGTTTGTGGCAGCTTTAATTTGGCGGAAGGTAAATAAACCGGTTTGCAAATCTAATCCTCGCAAATCTGTAAGCAAGTTCGAGAAGTTAAACTGCATCTTACAAAGTAGTAACTCTGCATCCTTACTGGTCATCTCTCTCTCTCTCTCTCTCTCTCTCTCTCTACTCTCTCTCTCATGCACAAACCTGCTTAGTGATCATTTTAGAAAAATGAATAATCTATGCTTTAGTATTATAAATTTTCAGTCCCTAAGTTGGATGATTACCACGCTCTCCATGGCATAGTAGGAATTCAATTTGTTTTCACACTAGAAAATTGAATCATCAAAGAGCTTTTTTCACATATATGGATGATTATATATAAGTTTTTTTCCTTCTCCATTCCGAATTAAAACTCATGCAGTAGAGCTTCACCACCTTGTTCCCTTGAGTTGCTGCCTCCCATACAGCCTTTCCACCAAAGAATAAGGAGAACTGTGAGAATTATACATAATACCAAAGCTGCGACTCCAACTGCAATGAATACCTTCGTTTTTCCATCAGGTGGAGGCTTGAAATCTATGCAATGGATAAATCAACTGTTAGATGCTTGCAGTGATGTGCACCCATACATGCTTTTACCTTTCCTTTAAATAAAAAGAATTGAAGTAATAAGGAAGCTATTGGATTTAAATGCAATGGGTTTAGAGTAGTTGAGATAATACTTATGAAAGGTTTAAGTTAGTGATTGAGCAAGTGGCAGGGTGTATCAATTGGAAGATTATATTATATGTATTCAATTACATGTTAATATGGTGGTGTATGTGTGTCAAGAAGAGTTGTTAAAAAAAAGAAAAGAAAAGGGATTGGACTTTTCTTTTAAGTTGCAGAACGTGGAAGAGTTTGTAGGTTGTAGAAGACAAAGTCTAGAAATTACATAATTCACCCATTTGATTTTAAAGAGTTTATTTTGACCCTTATATTCTCCTAAACTTATTTTTAACCACTTTTTTACTTGGTTAGTGGCAATAATAGAATTTTGAAAAATTTATGGCAATCCCCAAAATAGAATATTCATTTTTGTTTAGAAAATTACACTTTGACCCCAAAAGTTTTGAAACTTATGATTTGACCCCAAAACTTTATAAACTTTTTCTAAACTGCCCAGGTTACTTTCATACCCTATTAGCTCACATTAAAAATGTTATTTCTACATAAATGATATATAAAGTATATACCAATGGGTAGGAAGTATAAAAATTAAATATATAATCGCAAAATGACGAAATTATGAAAAGTGATTGATTGATATATGTTATTTTGGATTAGATGGTGATTCTATTGAGGTTGGGAAAGAGGGTTTTGAATTGGATTTTAAAAATTAAGGTGAATAATTTACTACTTCTTTTAGTAGGATTTTTTATATTAAACTTGTGGGTGTGGGTGTGGGTGTGTGGGTGTGGATATTTCATATATATGATAAATATGTTGATGTTTAGGTTTACAATTAAATGTTTTGCAATTGTGAATTATTATACATGTGAATTTTGAAAACTTGTGGGATGATTTTATATCATTGCTTAAATGTGTTTTGGTAATGAAAAAGAACTTTTGTGTGCGTTAGGACTGAAACGATAGTTTTGGTGCGTGTTAAAATTATGCTTTATGAGACGGGGACTAGATTACCAAGTCTAAATAATAACGATATTGAAGGTGTATCGGTGTGATCGGTATAGGGATATGCACATAAGGGCCATTCATCAGGCTAGTGATGACAAGAGACGGTACCAGTTACCAGGTTAGTGGTGATAATAGACGAAGCCAGTTACCAAGCTAGTGGTGATAAAAGACATAGCTAGTTATCAGGCTAATGGTAACAAATATGATATAACAAATGTATTTAGGACTGCATGTGTGTGTGAGTGTTTTAGGTTATAAATGTCTTTTCATTATAAAGTTATTTGTGAAAATGAGTGGGCGTTTGAGGTTATAAATGTCTTTTCATTTATAAAGTTATTTGTGATCATAAGATCATTTTGTTTAAATGATTATATAAGAGGGGTTAGGTATAATTTGTTGCACTTATATATATATATCAAAGTTTATTTTTGTATATAAACTATAGGACTTATTTTCACACCTCATTAGAGGTGGTTGCTATTCACGGACCGTTGTGCTCATACAAACATTTAACATTTTCAGGAGAGTATCAAGGTGAGGAGTAAGTCCTCAGATAGATAAAAGATTAGAGGATTTAAAGATTTATTTTATTGTAAGTCTTCAAGAATAAATATATTTTATAGTTTTGAGATAAATATTTAATTATTTTGGAGAACAATGTTGCTTATGTTTAGAGTAGTGAACCTTATGGTTTGATTATTATTTTACATGGGTTTAATAATAATGTTGGTGATGTTTAATTAATTCCTCTAGAATTCATTTTGCATTTATTATGCACAGCGTTGGTTGGTTAAGGCCTTGGTGGCCAATCCGCTACGCACCCTACATGATCCAGGGTGGGGGCGTGACAGTCCCTTATATCAAGACATGGACAATTTAAATAAACATTGACTCGCAGAAAAAATAAAATAGTAATTGCATTTTCACAAGTAGCAATCTAACCTGGTTTCAAATTTTTAATTAAGGTTCATGTGAATCTCAAGTAATGCCTATATATTTCACTATTTCAGTGTATATACTCCAGATTATAGAACAGGTTGGACAATAGAAAAACACTCAAACACAATAGAATACTGATACTTCACAATAGACAAAGAAAAGCATGTTAAGCATGACTTACTAGCTTTCATAGAAATAGCAGATATCAGAGGGCCATTCATTCCTCTCCTAGGGATAGCTGATGTCCCTTTCCCAGCCCAATGAAAGCGAATATCTAAAGTTTTATCCTTTACAACTGTTTGATATGTCTGTGTTACTGCCTTATCAACCCCTCCTGCTACATGTTCAATATCGAAGTCCTCCAAAACCTTTTCATCCTGTAATGAACTATCTAGATCAAGTATACTTGTAACTGCAGACTAAAAGAACTCATTACACCCAAACTACCTGGATATAAACATCAAACATCCGTCTTCCAAGACTCTGGTAAGACCGATTGTGTCTGAAAATTATTTCAGCAAAGTGAAGTGTTACATTATACTTCCCATTTGCTAAGCAACGCCCGTAATAAGAGACAGATAATGGAGAGAGGCGAGCTTCTGTGTACAGCTCAGAATTTTTCACACTGAGAACTGATACATTTCTTGCAGTATAATCATCCAGGGTTATATTGGAAAGATCCCAGAAGTTTCCTGTGATGCTAGTGCCCCAACTCTCCTTCTGTGGAGAAAATTTTGCCGAATTTCTTGTTTCATTATCTGCTTCATAAACAGTGTTTCCGATCATGGTACTTCCCCCACCGCAATTTATATGAATTTCATACCAATCTATACATTATTAAAAATATATCAGTAGTCATCAGATAAAAAAAGGAACAGCCTAGAGCACAGAGATCCCGCCACTGCGGAGTCTAGGGAGAGTTAAATTTATGTAGCGTGAAGAGGATGTTTCTGCAATTTTTTGTGATTATCAACCAAAATATAAGTTGAAAACATAAGAAAGGAGAAAAGGTTATTCTTATATTTGCTTGATTTTTTTTTGTGGCAATTGATAGAATGCAAATTGAAGCCTATACAACTGCTGCAAAGTTGAACAATGTTTAAATAAGGGGTTCAAAGATGATTGTGCCAGTCATGATTGTAAATTATATGAAGTATAGGCTCACCTTTTGTACAAGGAAAGCGTGTCAGGCAATGACCAGATTCCCTACATTCATGCAGCGCAAGGAAAAACCCAAAAATGCTTCAGTACTGTGTAATATCAAGCTCAACTGAAAATTTCAAAAGGGGGGGGGGGGGGGGGGGGAGAGAGAGAGAGAGAGGTTTACACTTTCTTTCCAGAGAAGCTTCTGAACAAGTTTCTGGTGAATCAACAAGAAGCCACTTTCAGTTGGACAAAAAGTGAAGGAAGAACAAAAGACATACAAGGAAGCTCAAAAGAGGATAATTTATTCTTACAAGTTTTCCGGACAGCCAGGTGGTGCGGAGCTCTCAGAAAAGTTGTTGTAAGAAAGATCTGTGTGGCTGGATAACAACAAACTAATTGTCTTAAAGCTGATTATTAGCCTTTGAAATCTATCTATGGGAACATATCTGAAACTTATCAAGCATGAAAGTACTTGTGATTGCTTAAGAATGGAGAAGGCAAGAGCATTTCAATGTGCTATGTTACCTTATATGAGTTAACTGATGAAACACAAGAAAGAATCTATGTTTGTCACTTCATTTGTGGCAAGCACAAAAAGCAATCGTCACTTCGCGTGCAGCAAGCACAAAAAGCAATAAGTGGTAAAATAAATCTTATATATCTATTGTATATTTCTAAATGAGGTATCTGATGAACACAAGAAAGTACCGATGCTCTTTACTTCATTTGTGGCAAGCACGAAAAGCAATAAGTGGTAAAAGAAATCTTATAAGCATCAGCAGAAAGGTTTGATGGCTGCTTACAAACAAGTGATCTCACTAAACATGGTTTTACAAAAACAGTGATCGCTTCAAACAAAGAGGTGTTGGCCAGACCGGGGGAATCCAACACCCAATATAATTGTATACAACTCAAACCTACCTAAAAGTTTATATTTGTATGTAGTGAGCCCATTCATGAGATACTAAGGCCATCTCACTTTTTTTTTTCCCAAGTGGCCATGTAAGATATCCACATATGATATCTCAACAATCTCTCTCTCATGTGAGAACCACATCAGGTTTTTAACTTTCCTTGAATTTGATCCCTCACCCTCCACAAGCATCATGTCCAAATCACTCTTTACAAGAGTACTCTCTTCCAAGAAACCAAGCTTTTTGACCATTCTTCTTGAGTCACCGCATTATCCTTCTATTGAGAGACTTTACATGGAACAGCCCATGCCTTACTCCTATCAAGATTGGCATTTCCATGACTCCAATACCAGGAGTCCATCACCATACTCAAAAGCCATCACTAATATCACCATGCCAAGCCACTACTTGGAAAGTTCACCCAAGATCATCATTCGTCTGTCTTGTTGCCAATACTTGGGAGATATGAAGTCCAAAGTCTAAAACCAAGCCGAATATGCATGTTTGGAATTCAGTACCCACCTAGAAACTTTGAGACTGTAAGTGGTGAGTCCATTCATAATATATTAAGGCTCTTTGACTTCATTTTCCTTTTAACTTGGGATTCCCACCACATTATCACAATCTCGAGAGCCCTCACACCCAGTATCACAAAGCCAGCTCCATCAAGACTTATATTATAATGAGTCCAACACCATGAGCCCATCACCATTTGTAAAAGCCATCATTAATGCCGATATGTCACGCCACTGCTTGGAGAGTTCATCCAAGCTCATCAGCCATTGGCTTTAATTCCAATTTTGAGGAGTAAGGGGAGTCCAACATCATGCCCGATGTTCATATTTTGAACTCAAACTCAGTTAAAAATTTAAGCCTATAAGTAGTGAGATCACTCATAATATATTAAGACCTCTTCTTTTTTTCATTCAATGAAGAACCTAAACATTGTGATCTCTCAACAAGACTTATACCAACATAAGCCCCAAGAAGAAAATTCTCTTCATCATGCACATCATTTTACATGTACCAATCCAACTTAAGGGCCATCTCCTCAGGACCTTCACTTTCGTAACTCATAAATTCGGGAGCTACTGCCTTGACAATCCTTATTTAGTACACTAGGTGAATCAATAGTACCATCAGACCAAATTAATCTCAGAACCCGCATGCAGCGTTTTACCACCTTCCAGAAAAGAAGTTTATTAGCCACATGTACAAATAATTTTTTAATTGCTATTCTTTCCTTTTTCAGCTACAAATGAATTGACTTATCTGGAATAGAGAGTCTTGATAAAGGATGAATGTCTTTAAACACTTGTCCACAGATAGGGGATCATTGTAATCTTCTGTCTTACTGAATTTCTCCATGGGCTGTTCAAGGTTAAAGTTAACGAACTGATATCTCAACCCATTCCCAGCTACAAGTCAGTCGACAATCAGTGGTCAATATTTGGTAAAAATCAAACAAACATCTTGTTCCTATAGGGCTCCTGGACCACACAATTAACTGCATATGCAAGCAAATCAAGAGCATTACATCCATTGCCTATAAAAAGAACACAATGTTGAGGCCAACAACAAGCATGGGTATGTACCTTTTGAATGGATGTGAGTAGGTCTAAAGGACGAAATCATGCAGATGAAATTACATATTATAAATGCAGCAGTTTGTGAACATAGATGAGTTGCAATTGAGCTATAAACTTACAAACATGAACAGCAATCTTATGCAAAACTGAGATGGAGAGCAGAGTAGTGTGTGTGTGTGTGTGTGTTGTGTTTGGGGGTGCTTTTTGAATGGGACAATGATCTGGAATCCAGGACTAAGACATACACTCCAGTATCTCTGCTCTTGATCCAATCCGGAATATTCCCAGTAAGCAAGTTGCTGGTCAGGTAGCACCTAATCCATTAACGACACGATTTATACGGGGTTAATAATTGATTTTGTTTGAAGATTTCAAGCAGAATGAAACATAAAATAAGCTGAAGCATTCAACCACCTAGGTCATGAGTGGAGTATTCAATGCCTTTCCTACGATCAAGGAAGAAAATTTCATTTTGTTTTCACCAAAATGACTAAAACATTTTGATTTCCATGGAAACTAGAATGAATCAGTGATTGAATATCAAAATTCCTAGGTTTTGAGGTGCAGCGAGATGTTTTGAGGTGTTTCGGTCTTTCAAAAACAAATTTCTAAACTTTTTTTCTCCATTATCATTGTGTTTTCGAAAAATTTGTCAAAATTTTTCATTTCTAAGTTGACCAAAACGAAATTTTGATTGTTGCCTACAATGACTTGAACACAAATGATCCTCACTGCTTACCTTTGCTCTAAGGACAAGGCTTCAGAGCTAACAATAAAAGGAACCCAGGTTGCACCTATCTGTATTATTTTTTCTTTTGATTAGTTAAAGGGCATCTGATGAGAGGACTGAAATACTCATGGTGCAACATGCTCACACATTTCAATCTAGCATATGGACACAAACTATAGGGAAGGCTTCCTTTGCTTCATAAATTATACAACTTGCCCTCTTGAGATTCAGTTGTTTACCTTTCCAGATGCACCAGGTCTACAAGATTCGGAATTTCTCCCTCCAAGTTGTTAAAGCTGAGGTCTCTGCCAATTGAAAAAAGACGGAACTCATAACCAAGCAGAACTCATAACCAAGCACAAAAAGAGAAATTTTAGTTAGAAAGTTCTTGGGAGACGCTTCATTATGTTATGTTTAGCCTTAAGGAAGAAAAGAAGCATAATCATAAGACGAACTACATTTTTTTTTTCCTGATAGGAAAACTAAACATAAAGATGATCAACCATGATTCTCTTGTGCTTTATTGTGAACTTCAGATTTCTTTTTTTTACTCCTCCCATAGTAATCCGAGTAAACAAAGATAAATTATAAGCCAGATTACATATTTCTTTATATACAACCCAACAAGCATTGTCATAATTTACAGATATTTTTTAGGAGGAGGCATATGTAAAAAAAATTGGGCAATCAGGGAAGAGAAGCCAGCTTCCATTGCCCAATGTTCTTTTTCCATTTTATTCTTTTCCTTTTATCGTATGGATAGTCACTGTGACTGTATATCACTAGGACAATTATTCTTCGTATTTTGGGAACGTATATCTATTTAGTCGATACATTGACATGGACAAATAGACTTACCTATAGAGAGTGCAAAATGGAAATGGAAGCAGTTCATCTTCCATTCAAGTCTTATCAAAATTATAACTCGATTAACTTTCATAACTGCCATGAGTTTACTGCATATTCATAAGCATTGTGTACACCGCAAGGCAATCTTTTGCACTAGCTCCAGGGGTCTCATATGCCGACATTTTTCTCAATTTAATTATGCACATGTTTTTCGATAATATATCTCATAAACTTTTGTGGTAAATGAGTATTGAAATATAGCCACGAGTGGCAGTAAAGTGCACTTTCATAAGCCAGATATTCAGGCTTCAAAATCATCTAATGGTAGGATCAAAGAGATATTTCTGAGGCTCCTGTTGCTTATATTGGAGTAAACAAGAGGAAGAAATCTGTATCGATGACCATTCAATAAGTTGATTCTTCACTGTTCTGCATATGATGGTTTAAGAAAAGAGGTTAACATCTCTGAATATATGTTTGATCAGTCTGTCAAATCAAACGTACAATTGTTGTGGAATAAATTAAGCATTCCATCTTTTGCTTTGAGCATATAATTAGCAAACTGCACACCAATTATTTTGTCATCAAGGGCATTTGCCCCTGATGCCTATATAATCCCACCAAGTTTAAATAATTGAATGTAAGATTAGAAGTGAATTACTAACTTCTCCCCAGAATCTTATGGTATTGAAAATTTTTACATTTAGAAAAGAAAGGACAGTTGAAATCAAAACAATTAGGCATTAGAGAGAAAGAGAAGAAGAAGGAATTAATGTAATGAGATTGGTGTTTATGACGTGTACATCCTATCACCTATTTATATTAGTTTCATATTGATAATTGGAAATAATACATATTAGGAAAGTAAAAAAATAGGAAACTTCCAAATAAGAAAATCTAATAACTATAACACTCCCTCTCAAGGTGGAGCATAGATATCAAAAATACCCAGCTCGAAACAAAGACTGCCAAAAGTAGATCGCGTTGGGGGTTTGGTAAGAATATCATCGAGTTAGTGATCAAACTTGACATAAGGAGTGACAATTTCCTTTCATATTAAGAGATCCCAAATAAAATGACAATCAACTTCGATGTGTCTGATACGCTCATGAAACATGGGATTACTGGCAATGAAAATGGTTGTCTAATAGTCACAATGGATTGGCATAGAAGACGGCTCATTAACTCCCATCTCATGAAGTAGAAAACGAACTCATACAATCTTACTGGCAAATTGAACCATGGCAGGGAACTCAACATCCACACTTGAATGAGCCACCACATTTTGTTTCTTATTGAGCTAAGTAACAAGATTACCACTAACAATGATATAATAGCTAGAAGTAGACCGTCGATCAATACGACTACCAGTTCAATTAGCATCAGAAAATCCAATAACAGATAAGGAGGGGGATGACCAATATGAAAAGCCTCTACCTGGCACGCCTTTCAAATACCGAAGAATACAATAAATAGCTTCCTAATGAGGTTGACAATCCTTAGATCGGGCTACTTCAATGCCAAGAAAGTATTGAAGGAAACCCAAGTCCTTGGTATGGACCTTTTGACCTAAATAAGCCTTAAAATGAGCAATACCAAACAATACCAACAGAGTCGTTGCCACTAATAGTAGTATCATCAACATAGACGATGAGAACAATGACACATGTGGTAATTTTGCGTGTAAACACATAATGATTCGAAGTAGAACGCTGGAAGCCATATCAAAGCACAACTACAATAAACTTATCAAACCAAGCACGCACTGATTGTTTCAAGTCATACAATGTTTTCTTCAACTAACACACTGACTGCTCCTTCCCAGAGATAGCAGAACCTGGTGGTGGAACCATATATACTTCCTATCCCCATGTAAAAAAAATATTATTTACATCGAACTGATATAAAGACCAATCTAAACTCGCCGCAATAAAAAGTAAAACTCTAACGGAGTTAAGACGAGTAACGGGAGAAAAAGTCTCACAAACCATAAGTCTGAATATAGCTCTTGACAACCAATCGCTCCTTTAAGCGCTTAATAGAACCATCAGGAAGATATTTCACAGTGTACACCCAACGACAATTTACCGGTTGATTACCAGGAGGTAATGGAGCGAGATCTCATATCTTATTCTCATAAAGAACTTTCATTTCTTCATCCATTGCCAATTTCCATCCAAGAGATTATAATGTCTATTTCAATGAGCTAGGAACAGACACAGAAGATAATGACAATGCAAAACAATAAAAAGATGAGAAAAGCCCATGAAAAGAGACAAAGATAAAAATAAGATGTCATGTACAACTATAAGTAGCTTTCCATAATACAATGGGTAGATCAGAAGAGGATGAAGTAACAAATGATTCAGGAGGTTGGACCTCAATAGAAGTCAATATTGGATGCGGAGTTGGAGCATAAGGCACAACCTGTCTATATTCGGAGTGATGCTAGACCTACAGTGAGGAAGCAGACACTGGTTGTAGAGAAGGCATACAATCTTGAATAATAGGCAACAAAAGCTCCCTTGGACTAGGAGATACCAAATATGTAGCAAGATGAAGGCCCGACATAGAAAAGAAGACAGAGGACTCAAAGAAGAAAGAGGACTCAAAGAAAGTAACATCTGAGCTACTATGGTAATGACGAGAGACTGGATCATAACAACCGACAACCTTTCTATGTACGAGAATATCCCAAATACACTTGACCTAGCGAGGTGACAGTTTATCATGACCAGAACTAAGCAGATGGACAAAAGCAACACAACCAAAGACATAAGGAGTCAAACTAAATGACGGGGTATTAGGATACAATAAAGAGAAATGAGACTTATTATCCAAGATGGGAGAATACATGCAGTTAATAAGATAAACTAAAATAAGAACAACATTAGCCCAATATTGTTTTGGTACATGCATGTTAAACATCAAGATGCGGACAACATCCAACAAATGTCAATATTTACGTTCGACACTACCATTTTTGTTGGGAGATATGTGGCTAGGTAATTTGATGGATAATGTCACTTTCAGCATAAAATATTTTCATAAATGATTAAGTATACTCAAGGGCATTGTCAGACCGAAGAAACTTAATACGTATATCCAACTCAACCAGAATTTCATGATCGAAAGTGGCAAAGATCTTTGAAAATTCAGAGCGATCATTCATAAGAAATAACCAATTCACATGACATAAAAACTAGAAATACATTTGACTCTTGTAGGACCCCAAATGTCTTAATGGACAACACTAAAAGGAAGAGATTGATGACTTGAAGAACTAGGAAAAAAAAGAACTATAATGATGTTTGTCTAATTGATAAGCCGCACATTCTAACACAAATGAAGAACTCAAACTAAGGATAACTTGACGCAACTTCTATAAGGAGGGATGACCTAGTCAAAAGTGTCACCGGAGAGGAGACATGGTAACACTCACGGTAGGAACAAAAACTGGAACAGAACATTCGAGTTCTGAATAGTAAAGGTCATTGCTCTCACACCCCGAACCAATTATCTTCTTCGTCTTGAGGTCTTGAAAAATACAAGAAGAGACAGAAAAGGTTACCGAACATCATAAAGACTCAATTAATTGACTTACATATAACAAGTTGAAGGGAAAATGAGAAAAAAATAAATCAGAGATTAATAACAGAGTCTGGAGGACAATGATCGCCAGTCCCATGTACTGGTCAAAAAAATCATCAGCTAACACAATTCGTGAGTTAGACAAATGAAAATTAGAAAATAGAGAAGAAATATCAGACATATAAGACTAGCTCCTAAATCAATGATCCAAGAGGACGAAGAACATTGGGTAGCCACATATGCCGAGTTAACTCCATCGGCAAAACAATGGCAAAAATAGACAACTGTGACAAAAGTAAGAATAATTGTTGGATGAGCTAACTAAACTGAGAAGAAAGATCATCATGAAGCCAGAAGTAGATACAACTGGACCATCAATAGAAGTTTGATGTACTAGAGACCCCAGAGTATCATCAGAAACTGGGTGAGTATATGTATATGTTGGTCTCCAATACTTATCCTAAAAATAATTCTCATTATGTCTGGTGACACAACAATAAGTACACTTTTACTAAGAACGATGACCACAACCAAAACCACCACCACGACCAATACCATGGGGTGGACCACGTCCACCAACACAATCGCCACCATAGTCACCATTCCATTTCACAGAATAGATTCATCTAGTTTGATTATCCATTGGATGATATTTGACACCATTCCAACGCGTCCTTTGAGAAGCCTGCAGTTACTTAGTGATCAAAAAGGAAGAGAACTAATTGAAAAGAACCACAATAATCAACAATTGTATCCACACGTATCACAAAAATATAACAGATTCACAAACATACCCACACAAACCACAGTGCCAAAAACAAACTTCCAAAGACTCAAATAGGATGTGGACTGACCCAATAAGCCACCATAGATAGCTGACCCAGCCCAGAAAACCAAAATCGAACTAAACAAGTGCCAAAATACCCTAAACCGGAATGAACCAGAATTGTAATACCTAAACTGGACTGAACCAGTGATTTAAAGCCCTGAATCGGGCTGAACCGATGTTGTAAAACACTGAATCAGGCTGAATCATTGCTGTAAAACTCTAAACCAAGCTAAAATTTACTGAACCAATGCGGGGAAAATGGCCAGAGAAGAACCCATCCCAAAAGAAAGGGAGGAGAAGAGGAACCAAAGGAGAAACTTACCTAAATTAGTTTGATATATATGTAGAGAATGTTGAACCAATCCAATTTGGCCTGAACAAGAGCTAAACTGACTGGTTCAAGAGTCTGGGCTGTAAAGCTGGTCTGGGTTGACCAGGACGTGGGTTTTCTCAAATAAAAAAAAAATTGTGAGGATGTACACTTAAAGTAGATAGCCCATAATTTATAGTCACTAAGTACACCTTCTCTGAAACATTTGTTGACCAGGTACATATTTTTAAATTTGTGTATTTTAGGGTATCTCTGACTCTCGTTCATATTTAAACTCAAATTTAAATTTAAATAATAAAATCCAAAAAATTTATTACAATCCATAACTCAAACTTATATAAAAGAAAACTTAGACCCTGTATATCAAATTCCAACGAATATTTTTTCTCTCCACAAAAGCCCTCTTTACCAAGACATTCTCTGCCACTTCA